GCTTGGTTCTGGGTTTGGGCTCAGTCTCAGTCTCGCTCTGGTCCCAGTCTGGTCTCAGTCTGGTCTCAGTCTCGTCCGTCCCGGTCTCAGTTCTGACCTCAGTCTCGGTCTGGTCCCAGCCTGGTCCTGGTCTGGTCTCGGTCCCGGTCTGGTCTCACTCTTGGTCTGGTCCCGGTCTGGTCCCGGTCCGGTCCCGGTCCAGTCCTGGTCTTAGTCCCGCTCTGGTCCCGGTCTGGTCTCAGTCTCAGTCCGGGTCTGATCTCCGGTCTCCCGGTCCGGTCTGGTCTGGTCCCGGTCTGGTCCCAGTCTGGTCCCGGTCTGGTCCCGGACCTGGATCAGTAATGGATCAGTCCATATGCGGCGCAAAATTCCGGCATCGTAGTCACAGAAGTCATGTAAAACGAAAAAGAATCATTATCCATTTTTTCATTTTGGCTGTTGTTTTCTCATTTTCTTATTTTTGGTTTCATATAGAAAAACGAAAGAACGACGGACACACGGACTGTCTGACCCTCACATGTGACCTCGCTGTCACCGGGCTCAGTACAGGTGTAATTATAAACACAGTCGCGTCACCACCACACGTCGCTGCTTTATTCAGAGCTGGAGATAGAAACCAGCACAAACGACAAACATAAAAACACAACAGTCTGATTGTGTTCATGACGCACACGGGGGAGGGGCCTCGGACCGTTTCCCAAGGCCCACGTTTGAACCCAAGCGCGTGAACGTCAGACCCACACATCACCGATTTAACACAGGCTCAAGTGCAAATGTGTGAGATAAAAAAAAAGACAAAAAACCTGCTGGGGCCGGATTAAAACAGGCCCCCAATGCATGCATCACGAATTTCAGACTTCCGGTTGTCGCACAATGCATACTGGGAATGATCCTCTGAAAAAGTGAGCGTCAAACTGCCATGTTTGTTTTCCCAGTGGGATGTGTCTATTGTCAAAGTCGATCTTTTCAAGTCTTTTGAACCATATCGCTTTTGTTTCTGGTTCTGATATTGTCATATTTTAGTTTTGGGATTCGGACATCGTTAATTGTGTGGTTGTTGGATCCGAACAGCGGAAAACGACTCGAGAAACGGGCTTCGGAAGTTTGCGAACTCCATAACTGCAAAAGTGAATCAGATGTGTGTGACTGCAAACCTCTGTTCAAACTGTTTCTCTTCCCGACGGAATTGAAAAATAGTGAAAGGTGAAGGCGATGGGCCGGATTGATCCACAGGAAGAACCAAAAAGGAAACATTTGTCTCCCGAAGAAATCATCCCGAGTTTGCAGCGAACATTTTGTATGTGGAGCGACAACAAAACAAAATCTTAATCCCTCGCTCAACCTCGGTTACAAACAGTGTTGGGAGTATCGAAGTAACTGTAATGTGTTGCTTTTTGCTGTAACGCAGTAATGTTCGGCATTACAGGGGAAAAATTTGTAATCTTTTACTCGGTACAAATGTCAGTAACACATGTCACGATGTATTTTTAACCTGGATTGAAGTGGTGGTTTTTTATGTTTTTCTTCATGCAAATTCGCTAAAATCACCTCGATATCAGCAGCGGTGAAATGCTGGAGACGCGCCCACGTAGACCGTCAGGTGACCGCGGGCGAAAGGACCGACGCAGAACTCTGCGCTCCACGAGGTTAAACACAGGTGACGCCCTATTGCGCTTTGCGGAAACCCTGCACTTGGTTCAGTCCTGGTTTAGTCCTGGATTAGACCTGGTTTGGTCCTGGTTTAGTCCTGGGTTAGTCCTGATTTAGACCTGGTTTAGTCCTGGTTTAGACCTGGTTTAGACCTAGTTTAGTCCTGGTTCAGTCCTGGTTCAGTCTGTATACGGAGCAGAAGTTCAGCAGTTATTTTGGTGACAGTAAATTAAAAGTGCTGCAATAGTACTGTAATACCTTACATTTTAAACACAGTAATATTATAATGTAACAAATGACTTTAAAGTGACAGAAACAAGTCATAAATAACACAGTATATATATACATTACAGTTTTGAAGTCACTTGTCCAACAGTGATTATGAATTTAAAAAGTTGGGAAGAGAAACACTTTGAACAGAGGTTTGCAGTCACACACATCCAGTGTTGGGGAGTAACAGATTACATGTATTGGAGTTACGTAATCAGAGTACAAATTATGAGTAACTGTATTCAGTTACAGTTACTGTTTTAATGACCAGTAATTGGATTACAGTTACTTTGTTGAAATAAATGGATTACATGGATGTATTTTCCTGTTTTCACATTTTGGGCTATTCCCTTTTTTTTTTTTTTTGGTAATTCCACTCATTACTGGAAGCTAAACCAGGTCTAAACAGAACTAAAACCAGGTCTAAACACTAAACCAGTCTAAACTAACACTCTAAACCAGGACTAAAACCAGGTCTAAACTAGATCTAAACCAGGACTAAACCAGGTCTAAACAGGTCTAAACAGAACTAAAACCAGGTCTAAACTAAACCAACTAAAACCAGGTCTAAAACTAAACAGACTAAAACCAGGTCTAAACTAGATCTAAACCAGGACTAAAACCAGGAACTAAAACCAGGTCTAAACTAGATCTAAACCAGGACTAAACCAGGTCTAACTAAAACCAGGTCTAAAACAGAACTAAAACCAGGTCTAAACTAGATCTAAACCAGGACTAAAACCAGGTCTAAAACCAGGACTAAAACCAGGTCTAAACTAGCTCTAAACCAGGACTAAAACAGGAGTTAACAGGACTAAACTATGCTGCGTGGACGTGTCTCCTCCTCTTCTATCAATAATATTTTTAATACAGTTAAGTAAAGTCTGATCTTTTTATTTTCTTTTATCAAACAAAACATCTTATGTTGTGACATCTTAGTCTTTGTTTCTCTACAGCAAATCAAGTAATCCAAAGTATTCAGATTACATTACTCACTTTAAGTAATTTAATAGATTATGTTAGAAACTACATTTTGGGATATGTAATCTGTAACCTGTAATCTGTACGGGAATACCTTTTAACCTTCCCAACACTGCACACATCTGATTCCCTTTTGCAGCTTTGGAGTTCGCAAACTTCCGAAGCCCATTTTTCTTGAGCCATTTTCCGCTGTTAGGATCCAACAACCACACAATCACGATGTCCGAATCCCAAAACTAAAATATGACAATATCAGAACCAGAAACAAAAGCGATATGGTTCTAAAAGACTTGAAAAGATCGACTTTGACAATCGACGCATCCCACTGGGAAAACAAACATCACTTTTTCGGAGGATCCTTCCCAGTCCGAAATTCAGGATGCATGTTAAGACAAATCTCGTACGCCAGCACTCACCTCACTCAAGTATGATTTAAGAGGCCATTCTGGAGTCTCGGGGGGCGTTTATGCTGTTAAATAATATCAAATATGACACAGACTCGATCCACTCAATCAACAGAATATTTTATTAAATAATATCACAATGAGAAACAAGAACAGACTCAAACATTAGCCAAAATATGATTTGTGACATCTGGTGAATATACAGTAGTACTCGTGTTTGTGGGCACAGACCACAGAGCGATGAGAGCCACACCGGGGCCACGCCGGGGCCAAACACACCCACTGCTTTCAGACTGCTCCAAACACACACTCACACACTCATACACACTCATACACACACACGCACAAAACAAGTACTGCATCACTCCACTCTCCAGCGTCACGTAAGAGGAGTGCACCGGTCACAGATTACACATACTGGAGGATCGTGTCGTGTTTTCTCTCTGAAGTGTGTGGTGTTGGTGGTGGGAGTTGTGTGTTGTTTGTAGTCGACTCACTCTGGCGAACGAGACGACGAGGACCAGAGCGCAGGGTACAGACTTTACACACGATGCACTGTTACATCTTTTACTGTCGACACTAGAGCTCAAGAGCAGCTCTCGGGTAACAGGCTGTGATCGCGGGGTTCGTGGGTGTGACTCTGGACTGAAACGGCGCGGTGGGGGCGGGGTTTTGTGCTGAAAGAGCGTGGCGGGGGCGGAGTTTTGTGAGAGTGACTCTGATCTGGAAGAGCGCCCGGGGGAGCGGGTTTTTGTCTGAAAAAGCGTGGTGGGGCGGGGTTTTGTGGGTGTAAAGAGTGCGGTGGGTGGGGGGTTTTGTCGATGTGACTCGTCTAAAAGAGCGTGGTGGAGGCGGGGTTTTGTCTGAAAGAGCGTGGTGGGGGCGGGGTTTTGTCTGAAAGAGCGTGGTGGGGGCGGGTTTTGTCTGAAAGAGCGTGGTGGGGCGGGGTTTTGTCTGAAAGAGCGTGGTGGGGGCGGGGTTTTGAAGAGCGGTGGGGGCGGGGTTTTGTCTAAAGAGCGGGTGGCGGGTTTTGTAAGATGGGGGCGGGGTTTTGTCTGAAAGAGCTTGTCTGAAGAGCGTGGTGGGGGCGGGGTTTTTGTCTGAAAAGAGCGTGGTGGGGTTTTGTCTGAAAGAGCGTGGTGGGGGCGGGGTTTTTGTCTGAAAGAGCGTGGTGGGGCGGGTTTTGTCTGAAAGAGCGTGGTGGGGCGGGTTTTGTCTGAAAAGAGCGGTGGGGGGCGGGGTTTTGTCTGAAAGAGCGGTGGGGGCGGGGTTTTGTCTGAAAGAGCGGGGTTTTTGTCTAAAGAGCGTGTGGGGCGGGGTTTTGTCTGAAAGAGCGTGGTGGGGGCGGGGTTTTGTCTAAAGAGCGTGGTGGGGGCGGGTTTTGTCTGAAAGAGCGTGGTGTGGGGCGGGGTTTTGTCTGAGGTGGGGGCGGGGTTTTGGTCTGAAGAGCGTGGTGGGGGCGGGGTTTTGTCTGAAAGAGCGTGGTGGGGGTGGGGTTTTGTCTGATTGACTGCGGTGGGGGTGGGGTTTTGTGGGTGTGCTTCTGGTCTGAGGAGCGTAATGGGGGCGGGGTTTGTGGGTGTGACTCTGGTGCGGGCGGGGTTTCGTGGGCGTGACTCTGGTCTGAAAGAGCGCGGTGGGCGTGGCCCCGGGTCCTCGCGTGTGATTGGCTGCTTGCAGAAAACACTTAATGCTTTAGTCCATGAAGCCTCCGTAGCGCTTGTGTAGCGGGCTGCCCTCCCAGGCGCGCTTAAACACTCCCCCGCTCTTGCTGCCGTCGACGAGCCACTCGGGCCGACCCACGCGCCGCATGAAGCCGCCGTAGCGCTTCTCCAGGCCCCGCCCCAAGATGGCCTCCAGCGCGTCGCTCTGGGCCCCTCCCCTCCGCATGAAGCCGCCGTACCTCTTGACGGCCTCGGCTCCGCTCTCGCCGCGCGCTGTGGCCGCGCTCAGGATTTTTAGGATCTCGTTCCGGAGGTTCTCCTGGCCGTCTGTGCTGGCGGTCTCCTCTAGCGCCCCCTCTGGCGCGGAGGAGGAGCGGCGCGCCATGAAGCCTCCGTAGCGCTTCATGAAGCCTCCGTATTTCTTGGCTAGAAGGTGCTCGGGCGTGTCCTCCTCCTCTTTGACGGACACCTCTGCGGTCTCCTCCAGCTCGGGGGTGTTGTCCTCTAGGGGGAGCTGGCTGTCACTCTCCAGAAGAGTCTCCTGACACAAGCGCAGCGTCTGTGAGTCTAAGGCACCACCACACTCCATGGAACAGGCCTGAGGAGAAACATCTGATCAGCACACAGAGCCCGAGATTACCTGCACTAAGATCACTCTTTACTGTAGACTTAGACCATGGACATGTGTGTGTGCATGTGTGAATCTGATGACACAAACTAAACCCTGTGAGTATTTGGCGCTCATCTGCCTCGGATCAAGCAGAGTCACAGCGCACAGCTCCACGGGAGAACCATTACGCACCAGATTTCTAATGGATTTCATTATGGTAAAACACGCTGAAGTCAGGTGTTCTGCTCTGCGCTCTTTTTGGGGCTGCTATGGATTTAAAAGCCAATCAATGGGAGTCGCTGCACCATGTAATGATGAACGGAACCAAGAGTACTGAGCTCAGAGGCATCCACACCACCAAATGTAAGAGGATCTGAGCAGGCTTCACTCGCTAAATATTGATATTGTGAAGAGCCAAACGAAAATAAATCCTGGTGTCTGTGACTCTTAAATGGTTTTTCCTGCACTCTGACCTACAAGGCTACGGCTTCAGCTGCGCTACATCGATTTCTGATTCAGACATTTTGCAGAATGCCTCTTTCAGCTGTTCTCCGTCCAGTAAACAGGTCAAAAACGCTGATCATAGATGAGTCCAAACAAGATTTAGACCATGAAGTGATGTTTTTTCCTTATTTCTAGTGTCCGTCCTGGTTTAGTCCTGGTTTAGTCCTGGTCCCCGCCCAATGGCCCCAAGCTGGCTGCAGTTCTTTTACACGTATTCTGAGAAACATCGCTTTTCAAATCCAATACAGTAGATTTAAGATGTTTTCAAAGTGGTTCGAAGAGACAGAAACGATGAAAATCCACTCTGAAAACTAAAATTAAACCCAAAAAGCACCACTGAATAGAAATAAATATGTTCACGAGTCAAAATTAATGAAAATAAGACACAGAACCACCACAGTTTTAAAAGCCGGAGAGTCAAAGCAAGTCTTACGATGATGAGACTCGTAACGCTCCAGTGTGGACGCCGTGGGCTCGGGGACAGGATCAATGATGCGGTTTAGGACCTGAAGTTAATGGACCTGTTTCTATTACTAAATCTCTAGTGCGTGACTCATTGCTTTGGCTGGACGACTTCTAATGGTGAAAAAAAAAAACAACAACAAAGAAACAACAACAACGACACCATGGAAATGTTGTTTTTGGACTCTGGGTGTTGCCACCGCTCCACAGACCTGGACTAGAACTTAGCTCAGGTGTTCTTGGAGATAAATATGATACACTAAGCTATACTAAACGACAACATCTCCATGGAAACGAGCGAAGTTACACAGAGTATCTTTAAAGGCCCTGTACCCATTTTTACCCCATAGTCCGAACAGGTTCATTTGTCCTTCCGATAAATTTTCTGGTTATTTATATTATGTTGTCTTCGTCTTTTCATCATTTTTAACAGGTCGTGCACGCTTTTTTTGTACTTTTTATTTATACTTTTTCAAAATTTTAACAAATGTACATAAAAGAACAAACAGTCTGTGGGGTTCTACAAAGAAAATTTGAGTGAGCTTTGTAAACAGACCATGGACCATCGGTTTTCAAATTTAGCAGCTTTCAGTCTCAAATAATAGGTTATTTTTTCCATCCCATAAATTTCCTCCATTATCTGTCCATTGCTGTAATTTTAAAGCGTCGTCCTTCAGCCAATTCCTTGTTATTTTACGTTTTTACAAGCCAAGAGCGTCACTTTAAACGAACAGAATTCCTCCGTTCGAATGTTGTTTTCGTGCAACAAGCCCAAGTACAGAACCCAATTACAATATTTTCCATAAGGATTTAATTTGAATACATTTCCAAAACACATGAGAATGATTGGCACGTCTCTAACACTGTTCAGGGGTTTTCGGTTGCTTGCTTTTGATGCGTGGTAGGTCGTGCGCGTTCTTATCTCGAATCGTTTGGACCATGTCGACGAACTCTACGTAGGAATCGACCAAAACGCTCTTCATCGCTCGCAGTTAGTCCAGAACTCTGCTGAGAAAAGCGTGATCGCATTAATCCATTTCTTGCCTCGTTGCACCGGCTTCCTGTTCATTTTAGAGTTGATTTTAAGATTTTATTGTTTGGTTTTAAAGCTTTGAATGTTCTGACCTCGCAATACGTCTCAGACATCATCCAGATTTACTCCCCAGTGTGCGTTCTGAGGTCCGAGGTCCAGTTCCAGCTCGTGGGGCCTAAAATAAGACTTAAAACCAGGAGGAAAGGGTCTTCTCTGTGCCCCAAACTTTGGAACACTTAAGACCCACTTTTATTCTGTTTTAACACCTTGTGAGTTGTGTGGTCCTCTGTGTCTTTTATTTATTTAATTATTTATTATATTTATTATTTTTATATTTTTATTTATTTTTTATTATTATTTTTATTTATTGTTTTTATCTATTTTTATTATGTATTATTTTTTTATTTATTTTTTTTAATACTGCTTTTATGTATTGATTTTATTATTTTTGTTCATTGACTTAATTATTATTATATTATTTTGATTCTATTTGTTTCATCATGGTTGGAACATAATTCTGCAGATTTTTATTTTTTTATTTTTTTTAAATATAATGTTTTACACTGCTATGTAAAGCACTTTGGAATCTATCCTGTTTATAAAATGTGCTGTACAAATAAAGTTGGATTGGATTATTATTTTTTCAGACCAAGAGTTTGTTTTCATACCTGACAGTTTTACTTCCTCAGAATCGTCACGTGATGTTGCTGTGACGTGTTTGCTCAGCTGATTTATGATGATCGATCTCAATAATGAGGAAAACAAACATCGTCGTTGGATTAAAAAGGCAATCGAAATACGGAAACGTTCCCACGGGACGATAAACCGGGACGAGGGGGCTTTTTCACTCTCACACACCTGGGATACTGTCCTGAGGAAGTCGAACTGCAGGTGGCGCTGTCGTCCTGCCTCCACCGGTAGGAAAACAGCACCAAAACCTGTTTAAATCAACTGAGCAACACGTCACAGAAACATCAGGAGACTCTGAGGAAGACCAAAGTGAGCAGTAGAAACTGACAGGTATGAAAACAAAAATGTCTTACTCCAGTACAGACATTTTGTACAAGATTATTCGGCCGTGTCCTGTCTGCTTTAATTCTATTGTCTGAATCAGGAATCAGGAAGTGCACATTAGCATGCTGAACTACTCTCTGGTCTCTGAGAGTTGTGAAAAGGACTCATAAACTCATCGGGGTGAATAATTAGGATGCTCTGAATGCATAATTCCAGTGAGGAAGAACTTTGGACCACTGCAAACCGTTTGTTTTTCACATTTTTAAGACAGTATTTCATCTGTTTTATTTGAATATTTCCTGTATTTTCTTATATTTTCATTGTGGTTTGAAAAAATATTTGAAACCAAGACCAAAATCTTCTCTAAATACCAAAGGAAACCATAATATGATTAAAAAATAGCCATAATAACCAGAGGAAACTATAATATTAGGTCTCACGATACAATATTTTCACGATACACATCTCACGGTACGATATTTATTGCGATATTTGCTACTTTTTCCTCTTAAAATGTCTCGACAAGACTTAATCCAAAGAACTAAGCCTTAAAAGTGTTAGAACTGTTATTTCTTCTTCTGAAATGGAGCAAAGGATCATGGTCTATGTAGTTCCCTCTGTTTTTTTTTAAACTATTGCTGCACCATAACTCTTCATTTACTTGTAATTCGATACGGTGTGATATTATTTTGAGAACTCTGACGATACGATACCACGATATTTGGGTTATCGTTACACTTCTACGTAATGCGTCTGCCAAAATAACGGAAATGAAGAAGCGTTTCTCACCAGCGGAGGCAGGGAGGTGTGCTGTCCCAGGAGGCCGTACACACATCGGGCGCAGTCCTGTCCACAGTCTGAGGCGGAGGAGAGCAGGGACAGACCGGAGATCAGGGCCAGCACCCATACGGCTCGGCTCTGCGCGGGGGCCATCAGCTGCGCACACACAAACACACAAACAAACACACAGATTTAGATGTAACTCAACGTACAAGAAGAACATCCAAAGAAGGTCCCACTTTGGTATTACCGGGCCCTTGGTGGTGCTTGTGTGTAGAAGTGTCGACACCACAATTTCAAGCTTGATTTTCGATTCTCAGTAACGATTCTGAACTTCCGAAACTCTTTTCTTTTCCCGTGTGGCCTTAAATCTGTGTCATCCCATTGTAATCCATGGGTGTATAAGAGTCTACATGCTCTTAACTTGCTCTGAAAACATCTCAAGATCATTCTAAAGCTTCAAAAAAGGTTAGTTTCTGTCCCGTGAATGTGACTTTTTTACTATTTATACCTTACGTAGCTTCAATACTACTTTTAGAATCGATATGTGTCCGATAATCGACTCTTTTGACACCTCTGACCCAGTTTTCCTCGTCGAGATCCTTGGATACTGCCCCTAATTCTCGTGACTAGATGTGCAAAAATGTTGAAATATCGATACTTTTAGGTATGTTTCGTAAATTATTTTGTGTAAGAGCTACAGTTGTGTTGACATTTTTGCAGTTTTGAGTAAAATTTGCATTTTTTTCATGTTAACTTTGCACAAACTCGGCGGATTTAGAGACTTTTAGTATCACAGACATGGTTTGTTTTTTGGTTTTACACTGAACCGTATCGAATCGGAAGTGCAGCTGTATCGCATCGTGGCCTATGTATCGAGGTATCGGCAACTTCTTAACGATACCCAGCCCCGTAGACTTTATTTAACAGTGAAATCAGAACAAAAACCTACGTAAATACTTTTGTAAAACAGTTTCGGGGGTGTTTACTGCTTACTAATACTTTCAATTAAGCCTGAAACGGATTAATCGGTACTACTACTACTACTACTACTAGAACTAATCAATGGTTTAGTGAATCGTTAACTAATTTAGGAATGGGGATCGTTTCAATCTGGACTAAACGAGATTTTGACGATAAACCTAATTCGTCAGGGATTTGGCATTTCTTTTTCTCTTCAGGCCTTTTGCGGTTTACTTCGTGTTTCATTTAAGAACACGATTGCCAGATGAACGAATAAATTGGCTAAAATAATCGCAGCTCCAGCTCTGTTGACTTGCGGTTTTGGCTCGTGTAAGTGGATTTGGGGAACGTTTCTGGTTTGTTCTGGTCTTGGCGGCGCTGGAGCTGTCAGTCAGACGCACAGAACACAATCGCTTCTCCTCTTTTTGTGTCGTCTTTGTCCTCTAGAATGACAGCTTTTTATGCAAGAATTGTAGAGCGAACACGGGTTATGGAAGCACGTTTCTCTCTAAAAAAAAAAAAAACTCTCATCGAACTTACTTGAAGTACAGCTTCTTTTTTTTTAATAACATTTAAGTTTTAAATGTGTCGCCTTTTTGTAAAAAGTAAAACCTGATAAAAATGCCAGTTAAATATTCATAAATGTGCATCTATTCTCTTATTCCCTGTGTCTGTAATCTGAAATGAAGGCGTTCCCACTTTTAAATCTGTCTGACTTTGGTTGTATTTCAGTTCAGCTCATGAAAACCGTAATGAATAAATAAGATAAATAAATAAATAGATAAATAAATCGTCTCCATAAGTCCACAGCGCGTCTAAGAGTGCGCACTTTCAACTTGAAGCTCTTTGGAACAGTGATACAACGCGAAAACTACACAAGTTCTGATTCTTTTCCGTAAACAAACAGAATTCTCCAGACTTTTCTCGCTCAGAGATGGACCGGAGACGTGCGTACACCTGTCCCGTGCGCCCTCCGTGAGCCAAATTCTGCGCTTCTTCCCCGCGTCGACGCCACCGTTACGCACTGGCACGGTTTTGGCACGAGTCCATCCTTACCTCTGAGAGTCGTATCCGCTGCCGTCGGAGCCGGTGTGCGTCCGCAGGTTATTCTCCGCTGGAGGCAAAACGCGCCGATGTCAGATTACGCAGGAGACTCGGATTACGCACGGACCAGGTTTTACTGGTTTTACGCGCGGTGCCGGTGGATCGCGGCGCTCTGGAGCTCTCCTCTCCTCCGTGCCACGGTGTTATCTGAGCGCGTGGCTGCTGCTGCTGCTGCTGCTGCTGCTGGACTGAACACGAGCTCGTTCTCAGGACCGAGGCGCGCGTGGGCCAGTTTTAAGGACTTTAAGGAGGTGACGTCATGATCGGTTTTAATAAGGGAAGGGGCGCGGCGCGAGCGTGACGGCCGCCCCCGCGACCCCCCACCCCACCGCATCCCCACCCCACCTACCCCCTCCCAACCCTCCATCCACACACTGTGCCAGGGGCTGGGCGCACGAGCGCTTACATCACACGAACAACAGCGCGCGCGCCTGGATATTGGCACTGATTAGTTTAGTTTCCTCTTGCGAATGGAACCAAAGGCGGGGGAATTCGACTAAACCGACGTAGTATTTCAAATATCTTCATCATACTGTGTCCAAAAGTTACTGTTAATGATAAAAGACAAAGTCCTGTTTCTGTTTCGTAACCAAAAGAGCTCGTGCGTAACAGAATGACCTGAAACGGCGTTAAAGTTGGTCAGAGTGACGTAAATATGCATTAGAATAAACATGTCAAACTCAGACCTGAGGGCCAAATTTAGTCTGCAATATAATTATATTTGGCCCGCGAGATCATATCAGATATGTATCAGAGCTGCCCACCGCACACAAATCAACTATAGAGACATTATTTATTTAAAATTTTGTTATTATTTTATATTCTGCTTGTTCTGGATTCAATGTTTAAGCAAAACTATTATTAAACATTTATTTTAATAAGAAAAGGTTTAACATTACATACCTAGAAAGAAGAGAAAACATCGAGATGTTGTTGAAAAATTTTCAATAAATATTTAGTTTGGTCCACCACTTTCAGCCCAGTTTTTCATTTTGCCCTCTGTCAATTTGAGTTTGACACTCCTGCATTAGAGAATCTAGAATGAATAGACCAAAATAATATCTATGCTAGAACTCAGGCCCCATTTACACATACATGGGTGTTTTTAAAAATCGAGACATTTCTCTTCATTTGTTTCCATTTTTTACACACAAACAGCGAATTCACCTCTGAAAACAAATCTTTCTAAAAACTCTGGCTAGAGTGGATATTCTGGAAAACTACGGTTTGGCATTTGTGTGTAAAGTGAGATAAACTAAGTTTTAAAAGTGCGACTAATGTTTCCCTTTTTGCTCAGTCACATTTCTTCTGGTGAAACACTTTTCATGTGTTTATATTTACACACAGCTGATGTTTCATATCAACGACCAGAGACAAATGAGGCTCAGAGATCAGTGATTTTACCACTTCTTTAACAGATCTGTGGAAAGGCGAGCCCACTCACTAATGCACATTTTTCAAGGTATTTTTCAAGGTAAGAAAAACTTACAACTGTGATTAAATAAATGCTGCAGGTTTGAATCCAATCAACACAGACATTTACATGGACAGTCTGGTGTAATAACAGATTTGCAGGGTCTTTAATGTTCTTCTTTAATTTTTCTCTCAGACTGAAAACACTCTCTTCCAACTTGTGATGCCGTGTGGTAATACAGGAAGGGCTCCACTGTGTTTTTAAAATCCCAACACTTCTTCACTGTAATTCACAATCATTTGAATTATTTTGTTTCTGGAATTGCCAAAAGGTAAAAGGAGCTGTTCCCTTGAAAACTACAACTTCATGACAAGGTGGAGCTGAGCGTTTTTGAGCTTTTTCAGATGTAGACGGACGAATAATGTGAATGAAACAAAACAACTTCAGGTCTGTTTTTGAGGCGGTAACAACATTCTAACATCACTAATCTCAGTTTTGTATAATATAGGACTTTTAATCTGATGTCCTCCTGTATTCATAGTTTGAGGGATGTGTTTCATAAGTAAACCTGCGCCACACTTGTTCTTCCTAAAGTCCCTCTCATATTTATTCTAGTCCAGATCGAGCAGTGTTCAGCACCCGGAGCTGTGCCGGACTCCTGTCTCAGCTCATATGCATCAGACAAACACAAAGCTCCTGTATTTTGCCTCTTTTAAAAAAACGTATTACACTATTTTCTGGCCTGTTATAATGTCGTTTCCTCATCACAGACAGAACTGGACTTGTGTTTTGTTTCATTCTCAAACATTTAACACACAAACCCTTCTCCTCTCAAACTTAAAACACTCTGCTCCATCTTGTGATCTCATGCGGTAATACAGGAAGTGCTCCACTGAGTTTTTATACTCCGTGCACCTTCACTAGAATCATTTGGAACATTTTAGCCCTGGAATTGCCGATCTCTTGTACTAAAGGTAAAAGGAGCTGTTTACTTGACAACTACTGACCTCACAAGGTGGAATAGAGAATTTTGAGCTTTGGAGATGTGAGCAGATCAATAATAAAGTGTTTCTCAAACATGTGTGAATGAAATAAAACAACTTCAGGTCTGTTTTTGATGAGGTAGCAGCATTAGAACACGACTTAAACCTCACAAGAGTCCATTTGATGTAATTGTGGAGCTCTTCAAATATGAACATTGCTCAAGCCCTCTTGGGACCATTTAAGTGTTTTTTGCTGTAATTTTGTTTTCTTTCTAATATTAGGATGGGTACATATACATTTTTGTATTTCCAACATCAAAAGCAAAAAATATATGATGCACTATCCAGAGGGAAAAGTCACACTCCTCTTCCTCTTAAAGTGATCGTACGTCCCATTGACTTCCATTATAAACATAAACACATGTGGGGAATCATGTACATTATTTTTCATGTGTATTTGCACTTTATTTTGTGAATTGTGTAAAATTATATTTTGGAGGCCACTATTGCCCTGCAAAGCTGTGGAAGATGTGAAATCTGTGCATTAAAAGTTTACACCCTTGGTGGTGTGACGGTGGGTCTGGTGGTGTGACGGTGGGTCTGGTGGTGTGACGGTGGGTCTGGTGGGTCTGGTGGTGTGACGGTGGGTCCGGTGGTGTGACGGTTGGTCCGGTGGTGTGACGGTGGGTCTGGTGGTGTGATGGGTCTGGTTTTGTGACGGTGGCTCCGGTGGTGTGACGGTGGCTCCGGTGGTGTGACGGTGGGTCCGGTGGTGTGACGGTGGGTCTGGTGGTGTGACGGTGGGTCTGGTGGTGTGATGGGTCTGGTGGTGTGACGGTGGTCTGGTGGTGTGACGGTGGTGGTGTGACGGTGGGTCTGGTGGTGTGACGGTGGGTCTGGTGGTGTGACGGTGGGTCTGGGGTGGTGTGACGGTGGGTCTGGTGGTGTGATGGTCTGGTGGTGTGATGGGTCTGGTGGTGTGATGGTTGGTCTGGTGGTGTGACGGTGGGTCTGGTGGGGTGTGACGGTGGGTCCTGGTGGTGTGACGGTGGGTCCGGTGGTGTGACTGGTGGTGGGTCTGGTGGTGTGATGGGTCTGGTGGTGTGACGGTGTGGTCTGGTGGTGTGACGGTGGGTGGTCTGGTGGTGTGACGGTGGGTCTGGTGGTGTGACGGTGGGTCTGGTGGTGTGATGGGTCTGGTGGTGTGATGGTTGGTCTGGTGGTGTGATGGGTCTGGTGGTGTGACGTGGGTCGGTGGTCTGGTGGTGTGAGGTGGTCTGGTGGTGTGTGGGTCTGGTGGTGTGACGGTGGGTCTGGTGGTGTGACGGTGGGTCTGGTGGTGTGACGGTGGGTCTGGTGGTGTGACGGTGGGTCTGGTGGTGTGACGGTGTGGGTCTGGTGGTGTGACGGTGGGTCTGGTGGTGTGATGTGGTGTCTGGTGGTGTGTGGTGGGTCTGGTGGGTGACGGTGGTCTGGTGGTGGTGTGACGGTGGGTCTGGTGGTGTGATGGTGGGTCTGGTGGTGTGATGGTGGGTCTGGTGGTGTGACGGTGGGTCTGGTGGTGTGATGGGTCTGGTGGTGTGACGGTGGGTCTGGTGGTGTGATGGGTCTGGTGGTGTGACGGTGGGTCTGGTGGTGTGATGGGTCTGGTGGTGTGACGGTGGGTCTGGTGGTGTGACGGTGGCTCCGGTGGTGTGACGGTGTTGTGAGTCTAGTGGTGTGATGATGGCTCCAGTCATGTGAGAGTTGGTCTGGTGGCGTGCTGGTGAGTCTGGTGGATCTGGTGGTCTGGTGGGTCTGGTGGGTCTGGTGGCGTGACGGTGGGTCTGGTCATATGATGGTTGGTCTGGTTGTGTGAGGGTGGTTCTGGTGGTGTGACAGTGGCTCTGGTGTTGTTAGGGTGGCTCTGGTGGTGTGGTGCTGGGTCTGGTTGCATGATGGTGGATTTGGTGGTATGAGGGTTGGTCCAGTCCAGATGGTGGATGCGGTTGTGTGATGGTGGGACCGGTGATGTGAGGGTTGGTCTTGTGGTATGAAGGTTGGTCTGTTGACGTGATGGTGGTTCTGGTGACGTGATGGTGGTTCTGCTGACGTGATGGTGGTTCTGCTGACGTGATGGTGGTTCTGTTGACGTGATGGTGGTTCTGGTGACGTGATGGTGGTTCTGCTGACGTGATGGTGGTTCTGCTGACGTGATGGTGGTTCTGTTGACGTGATGGTGGTTCTGTTGACGTGATGGTGGTTCTGCTGACGTGATGGTGGTTCTGCTGACGTGATGGTGGTTCTGTTGACGTGATGGCGTTGTGAGTCCAGTGGTGCTATGACGGGAGCGGTTGTGTGATGGTGGCTCCTGTGGTGTGATGGCGGTTCCGGTGGTGGGTCTGGTGTTGTGACGGTGTTGTGAGTCCAGTGGTGTGCTAGTGGTTGCGGTTGTGTGACAGTGGGTCCGGTGGTATGATGGTTTTGTGAGTCTGGTTGTGTGACGGTGGTTCTGGTTATTGTGACGGTGTTGTGAGTCCAGTGTTACGACGGCGGACGCGGTTGTATGTCCTGTGCACGTGGGTGCGGTGCGGGCCTCGCAGCTGTCTCTCACTGATGGCAGATCCATCCGCGCCGCACTGATCCGTGATGGAGGCGCCTCAGGACAGCAGCAGGAGAACGGGAGCGCTCGGTTTTATGGAGCACAACTGTTGAAATGCAGCAGCACCGAGGCACCGTCCTTTTACAGCAGCATGTGCACAGCGCCGCCTTCTGCTCCCATCGCCCCCGGGCCACCACAACCACCCCGTCCCACAACCACACCGACCAGGACGCTCTCAATGAGGACCGATTGTGCTCGTGTCTGCTGTGCATTTGGTTACACTTATCCAAACGACTTAATAAAATAATCAAATCCACTGACTTCTGTGCCTATGGATATGGAGAACAACTGATTTTTTTTTTCATTTGTACTAGAATAACTATATAGGCAAGGCAAGTTTATTTATCAAAACATCATAAAATTAAGATTGAAATGAAAAAAGAGAGAGAGAGACATTAATTACCGTTTTGAGGCTGGATTTAAACAGCGTCAAAGTAGAGTCTGTCTCACATGTTCAGACTGTTCCAAGTTTTAGCTGCGTGAACCTGAAACTCTGACTCCCAGAGAACAAAGTAAGTACAGAGGACTGGGCGTATACAGGCGTCTTGTAAATATTGAAAAAAAAAACAACTCTCCCACCTTAGAACTTATTTTATGAATTGTGTAAACTTGTATTTTGGAGGCCACTATGGGGAAAAAAATGCTCTTTTTCTTCTATTGCCCTGCAAAGCTGTGAAATCTAAAAGCAAAGTTGCAAGTCAGATTTCCTATGAGACCTAAACTGGCTTCAAGAAGAAGAGTAAAAAAAAAAAAAAATCCACAACTTTTTAAATAAAACTAAAATTAAACTTGCACTTCTCTAACTTTTAGATATTTCCAATTTCCAGAAATACATAAAATCACATGTCAGTGTCCCACACACAGACACAAAAAATTTACATTAGGGAATAAACACGGGGGAAAAAAAAACCATCTACCCTCCAACTGGGACATGGCACAAATCCTGTCACCATAATCACTATATCCACTTATCTTTTAGTGTTTTGTAGCTGGTATAGATGCATTTTAGGGTCAGCATTTGTCTGGGGACATTTTTCTTTTACTACAGGGGGACATTTGTTATTTTTCTGTTCTATGACAAGATTTGAACTGCAGAGGACTGAATACATAGAACTTCTATGACTCATTATAGAAACAAACTTAACTGCAAATGTATTTAATGCAGCTATTTACTTCTTGCATCTCATGTTTTAACAATAGTTCACTTATTTCATTAGTTAATTTACTGACTATATTTCTTTAGCAGTATATTGCACTTCAAAATGTGTAGTGACAGGCCTACGTGGCACAAGTGGGATGTTTCATTGTTTGCTTTTAGTGTCTTTTGTGTGTGTTTCACTATTATTGTTTTTAAAAAGAGTTTGAGGAAATGTCTGATATTTCATGGTGATGTTTGATAATTTTTTTTTTTTGGTTGTTTTTTTTATGCACAGCGATAATGTTAAATTTTTAATGTATTCATAAGGTGGAGGCTTTAATATACGCCCTTTTGGGTTTTTTGCCTCTTCTGGCACCTACTACTGGAACAGTCTGAACATGTGAGACAGACTCTTCTGTGACGCTGTTTAAATCCAGACTCAAAACATTTCTGTTTAACTGTGCAAATAACTGAAAGGTTTTCATTCCGCACTCTTCTCTCCAATTTATGTCTCTCTTTTTAAATTTTAATCTTCATGATTATTTATGTTTTGATTTGTTTTTATTATGATTTTAATGTATTTCTTATTCTGTAAAGCACTTTGAATTAGTTTGTGTACGAATTGTGCTGTACAAATAAACTTGCCTTGCCTTGCCTACTTTTTTATCTCGTATGTGTGTTTTTTTTATTGTTATATGTGCAAAATAAATAAACAAATAAATAAAATATTGTTTCCTGGACACCCCTTATCACGTGAGACAGATGCTCCAATCTGAGAGTAGCTGCAGTCTGCACAGTTCCTGTTTGAATAAAAGGCGGCAGAGACAGGACAGGGGCAGGACCACGGGCCACAGCAGTGATGGACAGATGGGGCGTGTGGGAGGGAAGAGGAGGGGCCCAGGAGGCATCCAGCCTAAGTCTGGAGCAAGAATTCTAGGAAAAGGGCAGAGGTCGGGCAGCTGGAGGACCAGTGGAGACCCAGTGGCAGTTCCTGTAAGTGTCCCTGCTGAGGGTAAAGACACTTAACCCACCTCGCCCCCAGTGTCTGTGTACACTGGTGTATGAGTGTGTGTGTGAATGGGTGACTGGTTCATTGTTGTAAAGTGCTTTGAGCGCCTTGAAGGTGGAAAGCACTGTATAAAAATGTGACCATTTACCATTTAAAGGCAGGAAATACAGGCTTTTCTACACCAAATATGGCAGAAGACACTCCAGAGGAAACATTTTGAGAGAATGCTCCTTGTCATAGCCGACGGAAACAATCGAACAGAGAGTGGAGAGGATAAGAAGAGGCTTTCTTTTGTGTCTCAGACTTCACCTGGCACCACCTGGAGGCAGCTGTGATGCTACAGGACACAAAGGACACAAGGAAGGGACCATTTTGCCATAAGGACTGTTCCTCAATATCAATGTCATATATCACAATCTCTCACTCAAATTTGGTTTACAGTTCAATTTCATTTCAACCACAACACAACCCCATCTTCAACTTCTCCAGAGCCACGTACCTCCTCTGACAGGTGCACTGGTCAGACGTGGGTTCACACTGTGTTGTTTGCATTCTCACCTTACCTGTGGACCGGTGCAGGTCTGGACAGTGCAGGACATTGTGGTTGATCTGGAGTCTCATTATGAGGCTGTCAGACAGTGTCAGTAACACAAACTCGGCTCTTGGTAAATGAGTTCATGCACAGGGCTCTGACAGCTCACAAGTACACCGCCTGTCCTCATTAGGTGGCCTCAGAATACAGCCACCAGCTCCTCTCCACCACCTCCACCTGTCTGCCCTGAGTTTGTATTCTCTCTGTTGGTTTTGTGTGTCAGAGCTTTTTCTTGAGCTGGTTTTAGTGGGATTTAGATCAAGGCACACAGCAAAAGAAGGATTCAGGATTCTCTTGAGATGATTTTCCATCAAAGTTCATTTATAAAGCCCTTTGCAAACTAAATAAATAAGTAAGTCAAGCCCTTCCACCACCATCGTGCCTCCACAACTGCCAGAACCCACAGAACCAACTTCTCCATGATGAGAGTCTTGCCCCCGGTGAATCTCCTTCAGATGAGTGTGATTGACGGGGACACGCAGAATAACAGTGACCTTCTGCAGAATCAATGAGCAAAGCCCTAAACTCTGCTCATCTGAGGTGTGAGAAATGTCATCTTGATCAAAATGATGAGTGAGCCATGAGCTTCTGAGTTTCACATGTCACGGAAATAAACTAATCTGATTGGACGGCTGTTTGAGGGGCGCTGTTCATTTGTGCTGAAGATGTTGAACTTTGTGCCAGTTTCACTTCCATGTGGACAGGCCCAGTGTTTACAGAGACACTGACCATAAACCAGGTGAGCACATGTGCGGCGTCCTCTCGTACAGTGGCATGTGTACTGTCTCACGGTGGACGCCTTCAATCATCTCCAGAGCATGTGAGGTCTGCGGCCTGTGAAAGTGAGTCATTAACACTTCAGCGCTGATTAGATGAAGGCTGCCTGTGGACATGTTCACATCCTGAAGCTCAGTGTCACTGGTGTCACAGCTAATCCACACAGACCGTTCTCCCACCACAGCCACGCTCACTCTGAGGGCGTCTGTCACTGTGACGTGGACATGGGGGAAACACCGGCTCATTTCTGTCCGGCCTTATCTCCACTCAGCAGAGAGCTGTTGCCACTGGCGCAGGTAAAACAAAGACACGCTTTTTAATTAAGAAAAGAAATTGTGCAAACATAAGTGTTTGTTCCCAACACTTATTTGTCAGGAGCAAGAGCTCCATAAAGATTAATGAGTGATGTGGCTCATGAAATGTCCGGCAGGTGAACGGTGCGCGGTGTAATCGCTCCTGTCACGGCGATAGACTCCAGCACCTCTGCACTGTGTTCTGTGTTATTAAGCAGCAGATAAGACTAATGTCAGAGTGTTCTGAGGCCGGGCTCTGGGAGGCAGCTCACAATCCAATTATTATTCAGTCATTCTGTTTTTCTCTCATATGAATAAACATGGAAAACAATTAATGTGATTAAACAAGACACAATGCTTCTCGCGGCGCTCTAATCTCTCACAGACGCAGATTGTTATTTTAAATTTGATTAACTTTAGACCACAATAGTGACGAAAGCTGTGAATGAGGAGAGAAAGGAGCGGGTGTGCGATCGGTGCACTCTGTCATTTCTATTTGTCAGTGTTTTTAATGGACAGATCTACAGCCCGTCCTCTCACTAAAAACATGAGGTATGGAAACAGTAGAAGATTTTAGAGTAAGAAATCAGACTATTTTTTATCTTTATTTAGCACTGATTATAAGTTTAACATTGTTTATGTTCAGAGAAATTCATATCAAAAAACATTTTTATTTGTTTTCAATCAAATTAAATACAAAATTGTGATTGATCAATATGAGGATGCATAAATCACTTAAAATACAACTTTATTGAAGCCAGTATTACATAATGTGTTCACTTTAATAATGAGTTTGCTGTGGAAACTATTCATTTTAAAAGTCCTGTATCTGATTTTTCTCATGTATTTGAGCAACACGTGTCTGACCCGAGTACAAGTATAAAGTATAAGCAGATCTGGAGGTCGAAATACGTCCACTGTGAGCTGACTGTATCTAATTATAAAGTGTTTCATTGTCCAATACAGTGGTCCCTCGTTTATCGCAGGGGTTATGTTCTAGAAATAACCCTCGATAGGTGAAATCCGCAAAGTTGTCAACTTTATATTTTACAATTATTATATCTGTTTTAAGTCTGTAAAACCCCTCACCACACACTTTATACACTTTTTACATTCTTCTTAAAACTTATTACTGCTGTCGTCCTTTTGTTATTTTCC